TAACAATTATAATGATAGCATGAGCCATCTGTTCTATTGACTTGATAGAAAGTCATCATAGGATGTGTAAATTTTATCATGTATATCACTTCAGGTGTGCATCTGAGTATTTGTCTGGTGAGAACCCTTGTTTGTTTAATGGCAGCTGAGATGATCCTGAGGAATACCGGTCTACATAGAAACACTGGAGGAAGCTTTCTTCCAAGGTTCCTTCGCGCATGGATTCACCCACCACATGCCAGTCAGTGTTCAAAGCACTGGAGCAACAGGCAAGGCCCTGTTCTCACAGCCTTTCATTCTGGAAGGTGGTTACAGTCAATAAGCAAAAGAAATACATAAGCAAGATAAGTTTATGTAGTGATGAGTATAGTGCAAAACACTAAATCCACTTGATGTAATAGCAGAAATCAACTGGAGACAGGATAAGGGGAGGAATTTGGAGTAAGTAACCAAGAAAGGCTCTCTAAGGAGAAACCATTTGGGCTGAGACCTAAATTGAAAGGAGCCAGCCAGACCCGAAAGGGAGCACATTAAAGGTCCTAAGAAACCAAGGTCTAGAAATGAGAAGCTACAGTTTCAAAGACCAGCCTATTTTATTCCAAGAAATTTGCTTTATAAGATGTTACCATACAGTCAAACAGCTTACTGCTTTGTAAATAACACATGGTAAACCCGTGGGAAATGGCAGACAACTAATGATGAATCCTGTGGCGCTGATCTGTGATGAGGGATGAATGAGTGAACACATACCCACTGCATACTAAATACCAGACTCTGATAATGGTTGTTTTATACTCTGTTCCCTGTGAACAAATACATCCACCGTTCATTCAGCGAATTTGTATCGAGTCCTCTGTGTGCCAGGCACTGTACATGGCATTTGATTCAACTGTGAACCTGACACAGTACTCCCAACAGGGCACTTGCGCTCGACTGAGGGAAGCTGGCAATTAAACAAGCAATTGTGATATAGCTTGATCAGTGCCATCAAATGAGTAAAACAGGTACTACAGGTGCACAGAGAGTTGCTCTTAGGCTACTTGGGGAAGAGGGTCAAGAAAGTCTTCCTAGATGAAGTGACACTTAAACAAGGTTTTACAGATGTCCTGGATATAGCCCGGCCAGGTGCCTAGTGAACAAAAGAGGTTAGGGAATTATAAGTTCTTCTCCAGGTCTGGAGCCATAGAAGGTAAGAAAAATTGTTAAGAGATAAGACTGTAGGATCAGCAGTGGCAGATCAAACAGAGCCCTATATGCTGAGCTAAGGCTTTATGTGGAAGCAAGAGGGAACCACTAAAGAGCTTTAAGCAGGGGATTGACAGGACAGAATTGTGAGTTTAAAAACAAAAATCTCTCTAGCTTCAATGTGGAGATTCCAAGCTGGGGAGGAAGAAAAGCAGGTTGAACACAAAGTGAACATAACCCATTCAAGTAGTATGCTATGAAAACTTGAAAGCCTCCACTGAGCTGGATTTCTGCTTAAATCTCACAGTGCATTGCTTTAAATGAGCTTAATCCCTACTTATAAACTTCGCTCACATTTTTAATACTCAGGTGGTGAATTTAATCACTTGAGGTTGCGCTGTATTACCGACTTCATGTATTTTGAAATGTGCATTTTTCACTGAGTCAGCACGGCCATATCGTTTAGCTCAGGAAAACGTGTCAGTCCTTATGCCCCTCAAAACTTCCATTAACACGCATGGCATCAGATTTTTCTAGGTGATGTAAAATTAAATCATGACTCTTTGCAATGTATTCTTTTTCTTTTTTTTTTTTTTTGCGGTACACGGGCCTCTCACTGTTGTGGCCTCTCCCGTTGTGGAGCACAGGCTCCAGACGTGCAGGCTCAGCGACCATGGCTCACGGGCCCAGACGCTCTGCGGCATGTGGGATCTTCCCGGACCAGGGCACAAACTTGTGTCCCCTGCATCGGCAGGTGGACTCTCAACCACTGCGCCAGCAGGGAAGCCCTTTGCAATGTATTCTAATCAGCAACTCCATTAATTGTTTTCAAACGGTAATCAACTTGGCTCCAAATGAACAGTTTCATATTCAGCTTGCTCCCTGAATTCTATGAATGCATTTACCATTACAAGTTATAATTATATTACTTTCAGAAGTCATTTACAGCAATTGAACAAACTAAGAAAAATGCTAAAAATCTCATGTGACAGTGCAATTAAACAATATAAACTGCAAGACTCTACTTCATATTACAAATTTTAGTTAAGATGTATTTTCTGAGAAACGATATTTTTGGAACAAATATAGACATTGTTCAGGTTAAGACTTTATGACTTTAAATTACGGAGCACCAAGCAAAATGATCAGATAACACACCATATTTTGTTATATGCTAAATCAAATACACCTCGAACAGAAAGAAATCTTCTCTTTTAATAGGGAGGCAGGTAGAAATGTCTACAACAGAAAGACTGCTTGGGAAAAGCTAATTATAATTTTACAGCACCTGCTAAGTGCCAGGCACTGCTCTACGGACTTTATGTATTTTGACCTATGTCATCTCTTTCATCTGAATAGATAGAAGAACACATCTTCCTCAAATCAGAATCCTTCAATTTCAGGTAGGTAGGTAGTTTATAAAAGAGACCACAACATTATTTCAATTATCCACTGCTACATAACACACCACTCCCAAACTTTAGGAGCTTAAAAGAGCAACCACCGTTCATTATCTTTCATCATTCTGTGTGCTGACCAGGCAGTTTCGCCGCTGTGGGGATGGCTGGGGCACTGGGTCAGCTGGAAGGTCTACAGTGGCCTTGCTCACATGGCAGGGAGTTGCTGCTGGCTGCTTGCTGGGAGCTCAGATAGGAGTGTTGGCCAGAGGCCTTGATTCTTCTCTATGGAGGCCTCTCTACATGTTTGCTTAGACTTCCTCACAGTATAGAAATTGTGTTTCAGGAAAGGGAATTCAAAGAGTGAGCATTCCAAGAATAGAAACCCACCATGCAACACTTTGGGGGTAGGTAGTATAATGCCCTCTACAAAGATACCCATGCTCTAATCCTCAAAACCTGTGAATATGTTATCTTACATGGCAAAAGAGACTGTGCAGATTTGATTAAGTTAAGGTGAGATGGAAGATTAACCTGGGTTATCCATATGGTCCTAATGTAATCACAAGAGTCCTTATAAGAAGGAGGCAAGAGTAAGGGAAATTTGATAATGTTATACTGATGGCTCTGAAAATGGAGGAAGGGGCCACAAGCCAAGGAATGCAGGGAACCTCTACTGCTGGACAAGGCAAGGAAATCGATTCTCCCCTAGAGCCTCCAGAAGGAATGTGGTCCTGCTGACACCTTGATTTTTGGCCCAGTGAGACTTCTGACCTACAAAATTATAAGATAGTAAGTCTGTTTTAAGCCAGTAAATTTGTGTAATTTGTTAAAAAATCGATGGGAAACAAATACATTTGTCAAGCCTCTGTTATCATTCCCTTTGTTAATATCCCGTGGCTAAAGCCCAGAGTCACTGGACTCAATTCATGGAGGCATGATTCACTGTAACAGTCCACTACGAAGTAAGAATCCAACACAAGTACCGTTGCCTTCCAAATATTTTTATTTTTTTTCCTCTTGCATTACTGTTTTAAATTTTAAACACAGATAAAACTCCAAGTCATCACATAAAATGACACAGTCGGAGCCATTCAATCACTATGCTTTCATTGTTTATTTTGAATCCTCTATTTAAAGGCAAGAATATGTCATACAACAGGGACTGCAGATATAATAGCGTCCTAAGTGAACTGGTATGATTCGTTCTTTTTTTTTTTTTGCAGGTATAATAGCGTCCTAAGTGAACTGGTATGATTCTCTCTCTCTTTTTTTTTTAACTGGTATGATTCTGAATCCTCATGAACTTGTTCTTGAAATGAATGTGTGTAGATGGGTCCACAGATGCCCGAGACCAACCGTACAACTGGGAGTCAATGTCCCATTCTGCAAGTCAATGTTCATGTAGGATACAAAATTTACTAAGCGATAATTAACAAAAAGGTGCTAATTTCCAAATATTTTCTGATTTAGTTTTCTGTTGCTACTGTAACAAAGTACCACAAACTTGGTGACTTTGCGCAATACAACTTTATTATCTCAGTTTCTGTAGGGCGTAAGTCTCACATGGGGTTTGCCAAGCTAAAATCAAGGTGTTGGCAGGGCTGCACTCCTTACCTAGAGGTCTGGAGAAGAATCCAGTTCCGAGCTCATTCTTGTTGTTGGCCGGGTTCAGTTCCTTGGGGTTGTAAGACTAAGGTCCCCATTTCCCTACAGGCTGTCAACCAGGGGTGGTCCTTAGCTCTTCAGTCCTCACATGTGACCCCTTAGATCTCAGAATGACTGACAGTACATAGAATCCTTCTCACACTTGGCATTCTCTGGCTTTTCCTTCTGCTGCAGCTTCCTCTAGCTGGAGAAAGTTCTCTGCTTTTAAGGGATTATGTGATTAGACTGGGTCCACCCATGATCATCTCCCTCTCTTAATATCTATAACCTGAATTACCTCTGCAAAGTTCTTTTTGCCATGTAACATAACATATTCACAGGTTCCAGAGATTAGGGCACAGACGTCTTCAGGGTCATTATTCTGCCTACCACAGTTCTCAGCAACCAGAATCTTCACGGCAAAGAGAAGTTAGAAATTCAGCACTGATCTAGTCTGTGCTGTCTAGGAATAAGCCCTCAAAGGCACAATTAGCACAGACAAACTCATCATTCTGTTCGCTGGCTCCAACAGCATCTCCAGGAGACAGTTTATGTGAGATGTTACTCCTCCAAAATTAGTCACAGTTGGGTATTTCATAACCAGCTCTGCTCCATCGTTAAAGGCCAAGGCTTCTCAGAAGAGCGACAATCCTATTTTTTGCAGTAACCTCATAAACTGCCCTCCATGACAACTCAAAAACCAACTGATTAAAAATGATCTCACGACATCATACGGTGGACTATGTACCGATGGTTGCATCTTCACACCCCTCTTTACTCTCCAAGGATTTTGGACCTTTTGTTCAGTATTCTGAATCTACTAATGGCTTCTTTATTGATAAAAGCAATGTAATTAGAGCATCTGGGGTGAATGTGGTTATCCTATGTTATAAACATCAGAAATGCCTCTTACTTATAGATACATAGATACATAGAATGTCTCTTACATACAAAGAGGGATCGGTAGGTAGAGGCAATAACTACACTTTCAAAAATCCAAACACCTACTGATTCATCTCAAAATATTAATTTTTTAAATACTGTATTGGATATTTAAGGACACTCTTGAAAAACAAAGCCATAAGAATTAAGCTAAGGAATGCTGACATAGCCCAAGTTAGTGAGGAGAGTTTTAGCCTAACACTTTTATTAATTGTTATTCAACTAGAAGAGAAATATATGACTGAGCTGGTGGAAGGAAAGGACACTTTATACTCACTTCTTATCCATGATGCAAACTTAAATTCTGTTCCTCCAGGGAAAATTTCAGGGCGCTGTCCCTGCCACCACCAGTGATAGAGACGGCTTGGGAAATATTAGAACCACCTAGGAAGAAGTAAGTTTAGAAGTTTTTAGTCTAACTTTATACAGTTAGGTGGGAGGGAGCCTCCTTCTGGTCAACTAAATAGAAGAGAACTTTGTTTTGCTCAGAAAGTTCTTCTTTTCCTATTTTACAGCTGAAATTGCAACCAGCTTCTCTTATTGAAAAAGTTTCTGCAGTATTAATACAAGAAAAGCAAAGAAAATGATCACTCTGCACTACCTCAGCAGAAATGTGCCCAAACATACATGCACTTCAAAGTAAAGGAAGTTCTGCACTATTTCAATTACTAGATAATCATTTTACACAACAGTCAAATTCCAAAGAAAACACAGCCTACACATATGTTCTCAAATTATGAGTAGATCTAGGACAAATCTTATAAGCTAAATAACTTGAAAGTGAATTTTTTTCCCCCACTAGCTATCCATTTTACATTTGGTAGTGTATATATGTCCATGCCACTCTCTCACTTTGTCCCAGCTTACCCTTCCCCCTCCCTATGTCCTCAAGTCCAGTCTCTACGTCTGCATCTTTATTCCTGTCCTGCCCTTAGGTTCTTCAGAACCTTTTTTTTTTTTTGAGATTCCATATATATGTGTTAGCATATGGTATTTGTTTTTCTCTTTCTGACTTGAAAGTAAATTTTTTAAATGACCTTTTCTTTTATTAAAATATTCATTAATTTTATGTAGCCTAGATGTAGACTTCTAATACATATTTTTAAAATACGGACTGCTTCACAAATTTGCATGTCATCCTTGCACAAGGGCCATGCTAATCTCAGTGTAAAATATATTCCAATCTCAGCATATGTGCTGCCAAAGCGACCACTAGACTTCTAATATTTATTATAATAAATGTACTATAGGAGCATAAATCCCGGTTCATATATTTTAATTTACAAATATATCAATTTGATTGATGGAGTCATTTTTCTGTCCAATCACATTAAATTACATCCAGAGCCAAATCTCTGAAGTAAATTATGAACTCATTCAGGAAACAGCCTGCCAAGAGAGTATTTAGCACACAGTAGGCAGTCGAAAAATACTGAAAATAATAAACATACATTCTATCAAGGTGTACATAGTATAGATTTTCAACCACATGTAAACTCTCCAATCGAACTGTTAACAACAGTCATTAGTCCCTCATCCAACACACCTGAGAGTTGCTTCCCCTTCCATTAAGTGAAATGTATGCTGGAGACAGACATTAACTAATAATAATCTAGCTTACTATGAAAGTAAAGCAATGCTACCACCAATGTACTCTGAGACCATATAATAATGATTTTAGAGTCACTACATTCCTTGTTCCCTCAGTTTATGCTGATATTGAATTGCCTGTCGTAATGTAGAAATAATCACTTGTCAAGAATAATCAGGGAGGGTGAGGTTCAGATGAGTCCTTTCCCATAATCTGGGAACGCTTCCTAAATTCTCATTCACGGATATTGAATGGTGGGGGGAGGGTCCCTTACTAGATACTGTGCTAGGCATTGGGTATACAGAAGTGAAGAGATGCGGTTCCTGCCCTCAAGAAGCTTACAATCTAGTAGACAGAAGTTTAAGCTCATACGTGCAACAAAGTATTATACGAAGTGCTGAGGGAGAAAGAATGAAAACACAAATGAGGAAGTTGTCGGTTCAGAGTTAGGTCTATGGGAGAAAACCTGGAAAAAGTGCTCCCATCATACCTGAGCACATTAGTTCCCTGCTATAAAAGGCATCTGAATGTCTCCACCTTCCTGTGAGAGCTGCAGGAAATGTTAAAGAAAATTAAATACAGGAAAAGAAGGCCTGAGACAACTTGAGAAGGACTCAAGATCAAAGCATGGCTTGCCACAGGACATATATAGGACAACAGGCATAAATTTTCAAAAGCCAAAAGCAAATAGAAGAATCTAAGTTCCTACGGGGTGCTGCACGTGGGCACCGCTATGCACACGTGATATCCTGCCTTATACTGTAGATATATTTTCACTTTGGTTTTCATTCACCAGCCTTGGAAATAATCAAGGGTTGGGGGGCTGACTTACCAGGGCCAAAGCACCCCCCCACAATTTTCCCCAGCCAGTATTCTAAAAAGATTTGCATGTCCTATAGAAAAAGGATTCCTGGACGTATGTTTCAAAGTCCCAAATTATCTGAGTTCAAGGGCCCAGTGAGCTCCCTGTCCCACTCCCACCTCCCAGAAGGCTACCCCCAGCCAGCTCTGACCACTAGCACGTGGACATGTCATCCCCAGCAAGTATTATGTCTCATACTTCTTGCTTGGTATCCTCCTTAGCTCCTGCCACAGTGTCCTGCAAGTAGCTCATTAGATGATTGATAATAATGATGATAACAAACACAGAAACTCTCCAAAGATGACCAGAATGGTAAAATCACAAGATTTTTCCACGTGTTAGAAGTTCTGTGAAAAGTGTGGTTGGTGGACAGGATAGCCTATTAAATACGTTCTATTTATTTTCTATTCCCATTCTCTCTTCCCGACAGTATTGCAGATGATAGCGGGTAGGCTAACATACGTGTTCTTTATTTATGCTGCCCATGAAGAAACACAGAGGCTCCTGTTGGTACCAAATAAGGCATTTTATCTGCTTAACATAAGTCACCATATGGAGCAGGTTCTACCTGAGGCCTGCCTGAGTGAAGTCCAAGTCATCGTGAGACCTTATGTCCAACTTATCTAGGGTTCTGATTTACTAAGGAATGTCTCAAGGAGCTGCCACAGATGCAAGACCTATGTTAGTAGAATGAGACACAAGAGCCCTAAGCTGTGTCCAATAAGCAGAGGGAAGTCTTTGATCTCCCTGGGCAGCCACACTTGTGTTGCTCGCATCCCCTTCTGAACCCATGAAGCTCCTATTTGCTGCAAGAGGATTTATTTGGAAAATTGAGGGACAAAGGGATTGTTTGCTTTAATAAAAGCTAAGAACAAACTCACTAACTGATGGGAAGTTTTATTTGACTCCTGGGTCAGTGGTTTAATTTTACATATGTTCTCATAAATGTAACCACAGTGTTTTGTGCAAGGATCATCCTGTAAACTAAATGTGCTGGCAGAGGAAAATCCATTTGTGGCACCCAAGACATTAGGGGAATTGGCAGCCATGGAAAACACCTGAAAAGCTTTCCTCCCCAGCCTCACAGATATCCACCAGAAAAGGAATGCTCTTGCTCCAAAACTCTCCTTGCAAGTGGTGAGCTCTTCTGCCAACTGACCACCTCCTGGGTAAATTTTAATATCAGCAAGGAGAAGCTGGAAGTAACACCAGCACTTATCTCAGTGCTGTTGTTTTGAAGAAAAATATTATATGACTTAGTAATCAGTCTCTCATGTCTCTAACACATTCCTAAACAATGGCAAATGAAGGTAAAACAAATTAAATGGAGAAATTCTCGGGTGTGTGCATGTGCGTGTGTGTGCACGCACGTGAGCACATGCGTGGGTTCACATGCTTTGTTTTCAAGTAGCCAAGACTTACATATTAAAATATACTTACGGGGGACTTCCCTGGTGGCACAGTGGTTAAGAATCCGCCTGCCAATGCAGGGGACACGGGTTCGAGCCCTGGTTCGGGAAGATCCCACATGCCGCAGAGCAACTAAGCCCGTGTGCCACAACTACTGAGCCTGCGCTCTAGAGCCCGCGTGCCACAACTGCTGAGCCCGCGTGCCTAGAGCCCGTGCTCCACAACAAGAGAAGCCACCGCAATGAGAAGCCCACACACTGCAACCAAGAGTAGCCCCCACTCGCCACAACTAGAGAATGCGCAGCAATGAAGACCAATGCAGCCCAATAAATAAATAAATTAATTAATTAAAAATAATAATAAAATATACTTATGAGAACTTTAGAGCCTTGTATGTTTGCCTCAACCTTACCAGGGACAGAAAATCCAACAGTGCAGACGATCCCCATCTGAAGCTGCTGCTATTAAATGCTGGTGGTGTCATGAAATTGACTCAAGACAGTCTCTTCATTTTTTGTAAGCAATCCTGACACTGGGGTTCCCTAATGTGGTGATCAAATGGTTACGATAAGACTCAATGGCTGAAGCTACCAATCGTGATTAGGACCTACCAGATGACACTGTAATAGGTATATTATCTTTAACCCCTTTCCCATACTGCTGAAATCTTACAGGACATAAATTGTTATCCCTGTTTTACAGATCAGGAAATTGAACCTCAGAAAACTTAAAAAGTGGAAAAAAATGATCATGAACTTAAATTAGTCTGACTCCATGGTCAAGCTTTTCCTACATACACATAGCCACTGACTTCATATACCTCTAGGACTACAGCCAGCCACCCAACCTTATTTCCAAGAAACCTGCTTTTCCAGGTGGTTAAAACTCTTGAGAGACACGTGCTATACTTATACTTCCCAGCTAGAAGTAGACATAGTCATTTACCCAGTCTGCTGAGCTAGGACGAGAGGGCATCCCTCCTCCCACCTGAGATATCAAGGTTTACGGAACATCAGCCACTCCTACAAAAAATCTGAGGTTTATCACGTAGTCAATCATTCATTCAATAAATATTTACTGAGGGACTGCTCCATGCCAGGCACTGTATAATGTGCTGGACTTAATGAGCACAAGATAGCACCACCCTCAATACATTCACAGTATTAGGGAGACAGACTAGCAAAAGAGCGATTGCTATGCAAAGCGATAAAAGCTACTACTGGAACAAGCACGAGATTATTGGACACAGGGCAAGGACAACCACTTGTCATGGAGTGTTTAGAACAATTTCCAGAAGAAAAATAGCATCCAGGCAGAGTCCTAAAGAACAAATTATGGTGAGCCTGGCCTTTGAAGGGAGGTGGTTACAAGTTTTCCAGGCAGAAAGGATAGGATGTACATGGACCTAAAAGTGAGAGAGAGCCTGCATGTCCCCAGACCTGCAAGCTCTCCCATGTTACGTGAGCGGGCAAAGGGGAGAAAATAATCACACTGGACAAGTAAAAACAGGACAGATCGTGAAGGTCCTGGTGAGAAATGTTAGGACTTCATCCGGGAGGGGACAGTTTCCCTAAACAGACAGTTATAATTTAGATTCCTTAGCCATCCAAGTAGAGTCTCAGGGAGCTAAGGACATTGCTCACCTGACCCATCTTGGGAGCAAAACACTACGCTCATAAGGTTTGTCCCCATGTGCTCCTCACTCAGCCCTAAAGAGTGATTGTGGTGTTTTTCCCTCACGCAGTGATGTGATTTTCTAGCAGTCTCATGAATATTCATGACAGAACTAAGGGGACCAAAGCAGGAGAAGGCTGGCTGCTGCCAAAGAGGTTGTCATTCATTCACTGGTCCATTCACTTGTTTGATCATTCATTTAATCCAGGCCATACAACAATAATGATTTAAATCAGGGGTTGGCAGTCTGCGCCTGTTAAGTCAAATGTGACCTACCACCCGTTTTTGTAAATAAAGCTTTATTGGAACATAGCTATATGTGTTCATTTATGTATTGCCTGTGACTGCTTTCATACTACAAGAGCAGAGGTGAGTTGTTGTAACAGACCAAGGGTATATACACTTGGGAGTCAATCACACATGACATCTTTAAAGCCACAGCACTAGAGGGAAAAAAGTATGTGGAAAGTAGAGAAGGGTCAGACACCAAATTCAGTTGAGGTTTGTGGGCATAAATTTAAAGTTAGACCAGTAAGCACTGTTTCATTTTTTCCAGTTATTTTCAGTTGTGCTGATGCCAGAGTGAAATAGGAAGAAAGCTGAATTTACTGAGGGTTGGAATTTTGCCAGGCAAAAACAGAAGGAGCGGGACAAGGGAGCTGAAACTATTTAACAA